GCACTTGACACCGAAACTTTGCAAGTCAGGTTGCAAGGGCAAAGGAATGTGTGTGCGTGTCCTGAGGTTTCTGTGAGCTTCCACTAAAGCTGGGTGAAGTGTGTCTGAGGACACTTGCTGGGGCTGCAGAGGATTCCGGTTATAACTCATCGTGAATGAACTCCTTATTCCTTGGGAGTACGCCTGGACCCCTGGGGCTATATAATACACATTAGTCATGACCCTTAGCTTCTGGGTCTTTTTCCAATCTCCTCTCCCTGTCACAGGTCCAGAGATCCACACTTCTAGGTGACCATTTCCCTTCCTCCTGGCAGCGGCCTCAGGCAGCACCCAACATCCCGAAGCTGACGGGCTTCAGAGGGCAATGTAATCCCTCCAGACTCACTCCCCTACTCAGCCTAGTTATGACCTCAGACCAGGCTTCAACCTTAATGTCTAAGGTCCTGCATTCAGTGAGGCCTGAAGACCTGAGGAGGGCATCTGGTGCCCAGCAAAGAGTGCTCATCAAGTATCTTCTTGAATGAATGACAGTCCCATGCTAGGCTACATGTACCTTCTTAATCTCTACCTTTAGCAGTGCTAGGCTCTGCTTAGAGCGTGGTCTCAGAAATTCAAGCGTGCCTTTCTGGACTCTGCCTCTTCAAAGGACGCCCACCCCAACCCCAGTAAGTCCCAGTTTCCCTCAAGGTCTTCCTTAGGGATTCTACATTTTATAAATGGAAGCAGTCACACCCACCCAAACCTTCACAGACCTGGGACACTAACTGTTGTTAGTTGCTCAGTCATGTTTGACTCTTTGTGACCCCATGGACTGCAGCATGCCAGGCTTCCCTATCCTTCACCATCTCCTGGAGTTTGCTCAAACTCATGTTCATTGAGTTGGTGATGCCATCCAACCAACTCATCCTCTGTCGTCCCCTTCTCCTCCTGCCTTCAATCTTTCCCAGCATCAGGGTTTTCTCCAATGAGCCAGCTCTGTACATCCAATGGTCAAAAATATTGGAGCTTTAGCATCAGTCCTTCCAGTGAATATTCAGGGAAATTAACAATGCTTTCTAAAATTGGGAAACTGATTTGATGTCCATTTTTTCACACCAGGCTCTACCAAAACTGTCCTGCCATGGAGCAGGAGGTGGGAGAGATGACGCCAGAGTATCCTCCACCTGTTTGCTAACACAGTTGGTGGGACAGTCACCAAGCCCACTACCTAAAGACCTCATTTCCAAGGCAAGGCTAAGTGTGCAGAGAAGATGTCAGAATCCTTGGCACTTATTAGTACTATTTGTAACTGGGAAGAGGGCCTGCGATCTCTATCAGGTCTTACTCAGTTGTGTCTGACTCTTTGTAACCCTATGGACTGTAGCCCACCAGGCTCCTCTGTTCATGTGATATCCCATGTAAGGATCCTGGAGCGGGTTGCCAATTCCTATACCAGCGGATCTTCCCAACCCAGGGATTGAACCCTGCGTCTCCTGCATTGGCAGGTAGATTCTTTCCCAATTCATCACCTGGGAAGCCCCATCAGGTTCTCTACTCATCATTTTCTCGCTTACAATAATACCCATGGGAATAGGAGTTTCACATAGGCTGAAGGTAAGCAGCCCAGCTGGGGCCTGAATATCATTTAGTGGAGAATACAGTACTTACATTCTAGGGAAGGGAATCAGAAGATGATTGCTTCTTGCCAGGAAAGTTATGAAAAACCTAGACAGTGTGTTAAAACACAAAGACATCACTTTCCTGATAAAGGTCCATATAGTCAAGGCTATGGTAGTTATGTACGGTTGTGAGAGCTGAACCATAAAAAAGGCAGAGCACCACAGAATTGATGCTTTTAACTGTGGTGCTGGAGAAGACTCTTGAGAGTTCCTGGACAGCAAGGAGATCAAACTGGTCAATCTTAAAGGAAATCAACCATGAATACTCACTGGAAGGACTGATGCTGAAGCTCCAATACTTTGGCCACCTGATGCAAAGAGCTGACTCACTGGAAAAGATCCTGATGCTGGGAAAGACTGAAGGCAGAAGGAGAAGAGTGTAACAGAGTATGAGATGGTTGGATAGCATCACTGATGCAATGGACATGAACTTGAGCAAACTCTGGGAGATGGCGAAGGACAGGGAAACCTGATGTGCTTCAGTCCATCGGGTTGTGAAGAGTTGGACATGATGACCAAACAACATCATTCTAGAGAAGGCATCTTGGTGTAAAAACTCCAATGGTGGGGGCTCAGTGCCAGCAACAGCCTTTCTTCCCTCTTCTCCCTCCCTCCTGAGCCAGGAAGGTCATTGGTCACCCAGACACTGAGAATGTAGACCATGTAGGACTCACTCAGTCACCAGGCATCTGTGAGGTTGGTCTGCAAGTTCAAGGCTTCACCTATGACGCTGCCCCATCCTCACTCATAGGCGAAGGTCTTTGTTTATGGAATGGTGGGGAACCAAAAAGAAACAGCCTAGGATCACCAGTCCTTCTGGTATCCTGGTCAAGAAATGTGATAGCAGAGCCCTCCTGGAAGGGAAGTCTTTCTCTAGAATAGACAACTGACACTGTCCCTTCTCCACCTGACTGGCCATGGCTTCTTGCTCTGATATGGATGCTTTTCTCCTCCTAGTATGGTGGTCCTCACGTTGTGGTTGGACCTACAACATCATCACCACCACCATCACTCAGGAGCTTGTCAGAAATGCAGATTCTCTGGCTCTGCCCCAGGTACTCTGGGGGTGGGACCCAGCTCTCCGTATTTTAATAAGCCCTTGGGGATACTAAGTTTGAGGGCCACCGGCATTGTCTCTTACACCTAAAACCCCTCAGTAAGAGATGCACTTGGTTTTCTGATCCACATGTGGAGGTCCAGTTGCATGCAGCTTGCAGTGATGGAATGTCTGCCCAAGGAAGGTGGGCTAACCACGTCCCCGCTCCACCTGCAGCAGTCACCTGACCCCTGACAGAGGTGGTCAGGAAAGGCTAGGTTTGGAATTTACTGCACGGCTCCTCACAAACTCTTGTCTTCCAGAAGGTGCAGCAGGAATTCAGATGGCTCTGGGCATTACCATAGCAACTGTACCTTTCCGAAGCTGTCATGAACTACAGGAGCAGGCTGTAAGCAATGCAGAAGATGGGGATTCTGCTGGTGGAAGAAGCACACCCAGCAGTGGAGAGGGCTGTGACAATAAATGGAACCTCAGCATGGGTGGGATTCATGAACCCGAACCTGGTGGGGTCTCGACTTCCTTGAGACCCAGGATGCTTCTGGCACCTCTCCAGGGGTCTTCCTAGCTACAGATCAGCACCAGCCCAAGGGGCCCACAATGCTGACAGTATATGCTAGTTCTCCCAAAAGGTCATTTTTGTGTGTACTGAGTTGCTCAGTCGTGTCTGACTGTTTGCAACCCCATGGACTATAGCCCGCCAGGCTCCTCTGTCCTTGGAATTCTCCAGGCAAGAACAGTGGAGTGGGTAGCTATTTCCTTTGTCCAGGGGATCTTCCCAACCCAGGGATCAAACCCGGGTCTCCTGCATTGCAGGCACATTCTTTACTGTCTGAGCCACCAGGGGAGCAGGTTAAAGCAGGCTGGCTCCTAAATGGTCATGGAGAAATTAAAAAGGAAGTGCCCACTACAGGATGTATCCTGTTACAGGTCAGTGTTAAGGACAGGGACCCAGCTTCAAGCTTCTGGTAGGGGTCTGCATTCAAAAGCAGATGCCAAGCGGCCAGGAGGCACAGCAGGGGCCTTAGATAATGGTAAGATATTCCAGTTGGAAAAGAATTTATATGAAAATGGACCACCCAGACACGTGAGTAGTGCCTGTGGCTCTTTCCTGTCCACTTAGCATCTTCTGGGTGCTGGTAAAGTGGGAGGTTGGAAGTCTGGAGCCTTTCCTGTGCTTGAAGACTCTGACTATACTCTTTGGCAAAGGCCAAGCAGAGTGTGAAAGACAGCTGGAAGGTGGTCAGGCCTGCCGGGGCCCAGGAGACACTGCTATTCACACCTGCACCTCAGACGGCCCAAGCCCTTGGCTGTTTTGAAGCCACTGGTGCTTTTAATCTGTTCCTTTGAGTATTTTCACTCTTTAAGAAGCAAGCAGTCCACATGAGGAATCAGGAGGTGGGATCTTGCCTGTCCTCAGGGGCAGGGTTCTAGGTGTGGGAAGTCAGGATTGTGGAGGTGGCACCGAACCACCCAATGGTGTCCTGTGAGGCCCCTGCCTACCTAGACCTTCCACACCTATCTCACCACTGGTTGGCACTGACTGTCCCCCAGGACATTCCATTTGGTCTCTCTCCCCTTTCTTTCTCTGGCCCTCCAGGGAAGCTGGGACCCTTTCCCCCCACCCCCATATCTCCTGCATCGGTGCACCCTGACACAGATGTTCCTTCAGGAGAGCTGCCTTGGCATCCCTGGGGCCTCAGCTCACTGCTCGTCACTCTGGGCTCCGCAGTGCATGGGAACTGCTGGGGGATGGGGGCGGGCGGCCGCAGGTTCTCCCCCAGGCGCGGGGGTTTCTCCCGAGGCTCCCAGAGGAGTGCGTTCTTTTTCACACCAGCTCTGGCTCCCATTTTCCCTGCTGCTCTGGCACATCTGGAGTGTTCCCAGCTGCTCCTGCCCCTCATGTCTGGTCTTATCGCATTTAGCTCCTGGGCAAGGTGCTCCCACGCGAGCCTCGACCTCCTTCAGGAATGGAAGTCACGAAGGGAGAAGGGAGAGAGTGCTGCAGAGCGCCCCATCCCTGCTCCTTCACCCCGACTGCTACCTCACGAGGCTCCCACGAAGGGCTCGGCGCAGCCCTCCTCCCTCCGACAGCGGGCCGGGGTCTGCAGCGGGCGTGCGTGTTGGGGGTGGGGGGAGGCGAGAGTCGGCAGTGGGGCCTCTCGCTTCTTTCCAGTCACTGCCCTTTATAAATATTTATAGCAGTTCTGCTACTAAAAATAACATCCTGGAGCCCAGGGAGGAGGGGGGAAAAATAAATGAAAATCACCGGAATCGGGATTGATTAGCCAGTGTGCGGGAGCGGGATGGCATCGGGAGAGGCGAAGAGGCTGCACTAGCGAGGCCCCCGCCCTGGACGGCGCTCCCTCTGGCGGTCACCGGTCAGCGCGTCCCGCCTGGTCGCCCCGGCTCCTCGACACCCGCTCGCCTGCTCTCCTGCAGTGGCCGGAGGAGGTGGAGAACGAGGAGGAGAAAAGACGAGGTAGAGAAAGAAGAGGAGGACTCGTCGGGGCTGCAGGGGCAGAGCTCGCTCGTTCTCTGCTCCCGCTTACCGCCCGAAGCTGCAGCGCAGCGGCGTCGAATCGGGCGGAAGTGTTAGCAGCGAGAGAGAAAGGAAGGAGGCTATTTTTAGCCCTGTGGCCAGGGGTGTGAATGTCTGTAGAACCGAGCAGAGCCTGAAGCTGTCTTTGCAAGACAGAGAGAAGAAAACCTGTTGGTTTTTAAAGGTCAAAGGTCGGGAGGAAACTCGTGCCCCCATTCGGGAGCAGCCCGCCTGCTGGCGAGATGCCAGCAAGAACTCCATCAGCTCTCTCTCTCTCTCACACACAAACACACACACACGCACACACACGAGATTCGTGCGCACACACACACACACACACACACACACGAGATTCGTGCTGTTTCTTTTCTCTTTTCAACCTCCAGTAAATTCCAGTTGCAGAGATGAGACCATGCCCGGAGGAGAGTGATGAAGATGCTAGTTCATGCAGGACTGTGCGAGGGTGGGGTGGGGGTGCGCCCGAGGCGGCACCGGAGGTCCCTCCCACTTCCCACCGGCCTGGGCTCCCCTCTCCCTGGCAAGTGGTAACGTCTGGCAGCCTGCAAGCCTGGTCCAGGTGTGCAGCGGAAAGATGGACAGGAATGCGCCTCTGGGAGAACACCTCGCCTTCTTCGAGTCGGTCGGTGCCAGCTCGCTCCACGTCCCCTGTGCCTGTGCAGGACAGACGCACGGTCACTCCGCGGGCCCTGGTGCAGGGTCTCAAGGCAAAGGCGGCTAACATCCGCCAGGACCGGACAATGCGTGGGGATGGCGCTGTCCGGCCGCTTACCTTGTCAACTCGGGACACTCGATGAGGGGCAGGACTCACACACCCCTTTTAGGGAAGCGGGTGTTCTCTTTCTGGGGGTATCTTGGGTCTTTGGAGTCCTTGCTTAGGTCACAGGGTCAGGAAATGTTTCCAGGAAAGAAAGAACTGTGTTTGCAATGCAAGGCTTGGAAGGTGGTGGTTTCATGGGGTGAAGAATTGTGATTGAAGGGAAGGGCAAACAGGTTGGTGATGTGCTGAGAAGCCCTGGATAGAAGGGGAGAAAGCCTCAGCCTCACACATAAAGTGAGCAAAACTTAAGAGTCCACCTGAGCGTTTAGGCTTTTCCTTAACTTTCTGAAACTCTCCCCACTTCAAGAGTTTCTCACAACACCCCCCTCCCAGGGTCAGAGGACAGCACTAGTAGCAGAGGAGTCAGGACTGGCACCAAGCTCCTGGGTAGTGGTCTTAGTTTCCTGTGTGCAAAAGGGGTGGGCCAGCTGGTGGACACGCCTTTCCTCATCTCCCAGTTCCTGTGTGCCCTGGGGAGAGGGGCCCTGGCAGGCTCCCCAAGGGCAAGTCAGCTCCTGACTGTCTCATAGCTGCGGCAGCCACCTCCTGCTTCAGGAAGGGCCTTGCCCGCATGCGCGGTGAGCTCAGGGACAAGCCTGCCCAGCCTGGGAGGCGCTGTGATTTCCAGGGCGGCCAGAGAATTTCCACAGCTCAGGCACTGCCCGTCTTCAGCTTGCATGATCCTGAGCCGGGGGAGGCTCAGAGAAAGCAGGTCCGGGAGGGCAAGCAGGACAGAACCCAGGGTCTGGTGCAGATGAGGAAAAGCTGGGCTGTCATGGAAAGGCCTGGAAGCTGCCCCATGACAAGAATGCTCAGGAGGGCCTGGGACAGGTCCTTTTCTGGACTGTGGGCTGCAGCCCTGGCTTTTCTGTCTGGAAGATCTGTAACCGAGGAAGATGGCCTAACTTTTAAACACATGAGGTGGGGGGAGGGGAGGGAAGCAAAGACTAAAAAAATAAAGAGGAATCTCAAGGCTGCACCAAAGGCATCTATCCTTGAAAGAACTCTTCTCTTGAACAGATTGGTTGTCCAAGTATTTTTGTTCCTTTCTTTTAGCTCTCAGTGCAGACCTAGAAGCCTCAATACCTTGGAACTGGAGCTAGATAAGAGTTAAGGTCCTAAGATGGAAAAATGTGAAAGGCTAACTCTCAAGGCAATGGGCATTTGCCTGTGAGGAAATCTGAACTTTTATTAATTTTTTTTTTTTTTTTAAGGAAGTGAGAAGGTGCAGCTTGGCCGGGCACCATGGGAAACGACTTTATGGAGTTACCAGTGTGACCCTGCACCAGCGGTGGTTTGGACATCTGGAGAGAAATGACAGAGGCTGTGGGGAAATCAGGAGCAAGAAGGAAAGAGAAGGCAGCCCGGGGAAGTGACTTTTGCCACCTGCATCCCAACACAGGTGACACCTGCCTGAAGCCCAGGCTCAGAGCAGTGCAGGATGGGCCAGGGTCTGCAGATGGGCCCGAGCAGGTGTGCTGGTGTAGTTGCACAAAGAGAGGAGGTGCAGCAGGGCTTGTGAAGGAAACTTCAACTTGCATCACGTGTGTCGGGCAGCTCTGGCTTGGGAACTGTGATGGAGGAGGGAGGAGGGGAGGAGGGAGGGGGCCGTGGGGGAGGGCAGGGAACACTGTACTCACCCGTGCTTCCTCTCTGGCTGGGCTCCTCCGCTAACCTGTGCAGCACAGACAAACGACAGACGGAGGTCACAGTCGGGGTCTCCTTGCCACCCGGGGGTTCTCCTGGGGCCTCCCCGACCCATGGGCTCCTGGACTTGCTCTTTGTCTCCTCTTAGATCAACTTTTTCCAACCAGGTTTGAAAACAAGGGGGAAGTCACGTGACCTACAACCAGCAACTACGACTGACCTAATGCAGCCATGGATACACATGCCTCTCAGGAGGAAGATAAATCATATGAAAGTGGAAAAGGAATCCACCTTAAACCTAGGGAGCAGTTACATCAGAGGACACAGCCCATGTGGTCCTGAAAGTGAACAAGGTGAAAATGGCTTAAACGTTGAAAAGAGCAGCATTTCCTTCCTGCAGACGCATCTTCCGGGGACTCTAAATCAGACTCCTGCTCACCCTGATATCTTGAACCATCACCTGGACTGTCAAAAGCCTGTATCTATTCTTACCAAGGACCACTGCTCTCAGTCTCCCAGACACGTACCAGTATTAAGCATGCAAACTGGATTTATAGCTCCCAATACCATGATGGCAGGTGCTGGGAGAGGTGATTCTGAAGGACACAGGGGCATAAAATGAGGCTGTGGAGTAGCAGAGATGAATTGAGGGCTCTGAAGTAACATGGGGAAGTTATGCTAGCCTATGTTTCATCTGTACGCTCTTGGTTACAAGGACTGACCACCCACAGTGAGGGGAGGGCACTCCTACAGTGGAGCAGAATCGTTCCCCAGGATGCACCCGGACAGGGAGCCAGGGGGGGCATGGAGATGCCAGGGTGAATGTGGCTAGGAAGTTGGGCTGGGTCAGGAGTTCTTCAAAAGTGTCCATTTGGCTCTCATGGTTTCCACTGAGCAGACTATACTTCATGGGGTGCTGACCTGGTTGTGTTTATATTATGTCAGCATGATTTCAACCCCGAAGAAGCCAATCTTTCTCTGTTTCTGGTTGATAGTTATTGCTCTCTAATGCCTAGGTGACAGTAGTTACTGCCACCTCGGTCTACAGTATTAAAATCTCACACGTAGATCACAGTGGAGAAACAGAAGTTTCATCCATAAAAACACTTGGTTGAGAACTACACCTACATAACAGCCATATGTTAGCTACAGGGGCATATCCTGGGACCCATACAGTATTGACAGCCAAATATCCTTTTTAAACCCTACCCATCTCTCACCTCAACTCTTAACACTCTGCCCCTTGGGAATGGCACCTAAAAAACCCACAGAAATGGAAATTCAGGCATTCTCACAACAAGCTTTCACATCGACATACAAAGCAAGAGGGACAGAGAGATGTTGACCAGGCAACAAGGTGCAAAGACAGAGGGTCCCTGAAGCTAGTAGGTACCAGACAAGGGAAACCATACCCAGTCCCTGTGTGAGACACAGCCTCTGTCTAGACTTGAATCAGGCCTAAGGCTAGAGTCTGTGGGCAGGGAAAGACCCAAGCGATCAGGGCAGTCTTCTGTGTGCTTTGGGGGAGCAAGGGAGACTGAGGAGAGGCCCTGGGAAAAACTATTGGGGGAGGGAGGGTATAAGGGGAGAGAGGCCAAAGAAGCAGCTGTTATGTTTTCAGCCAAGAACATTCCACATGAAAGCCGGGATCTGGCTGGACTGTGTGTGTGTGCATGCATGTGTTTGCAGGGTGTGTTTACATAAGCGTAAATCTATCTCTGTGTCTCCCCTCTTCTCTTCACCTCTTGCAGTACAGCCCTCCTGCCTCCTTCTAGTCCCTCATCGGCATGCAAAAGTCAGGTTTCTCTCCTTTTCTCTGCAGCATTTCTAGACGTTTCAAACACCACTGCCCTCTACTGCTGACCTTTTGACGGCTTTATGCCAAATACATCATTCTCATTAATTCATCATAGCTCTTGTCCACTTTCTCCCAGGCCTCGCTCAGACTCACTTGATGATTGCAGCACCTGGAGTATGTTTTTCTACCCCCGTCTCACCCCTGGCGATTCCAGTGTCCTTGCTGACAAAACTCCAAAGACCCCTCTCTCTCATCCACACTAGCTGCTATGCACAAGCGCTCTGGACCTTCCCCTTCTGAGGTGCTCCCCTGTTCTCATCACAGCCTCCTTTTCTGTATCCACTTCTCTCCACTCTTCCTTAAGACTTCTTTCACTGCACTCGGTCTCCCAGTCCATTCAGAGTAAAGATGGGCGCTGGCGTTAGAGACACCTGGGCTGAGTCCAGGCTCAGGCGATTACTACCTAGACACATTGTTTAACCGCCCTTAGCCTTGTCTTGGAATCCTTTCCTCATGGGGCCATGGAATTAGACAAGAGGAGTGTGTTAAGTGCACAGCCTGCAACAGGGATCTGAGCAAGCTGGGCCAGCTCCCTCTCATGCTCCACTTTCAGCATCCTCAGGGTGGCCACCTGCCTCTCTCTCTGACAAAGTGCTCTCCTGCATGCCACCCTGTCTATTTCCTTATGTTTGTGAATCTACTGATATCCTGCAACATGCTGGCCACTGTTCTAGCCACTGGGGATACACCTGAACAAAACAGATGAAAATCTCT